GATGACTGTATGCATATTCTTCAAACGCAGGCAGGGGCTGGTGTTAGCTTCGAGATGTGGAAAAAGTTTGACTCAGATTTCTTATGATCAGTGTTTATCCTGTAAATTGAGTTTGATATTTTTTCTATGATTTTGTAGGGTCCAAGTTTTAATTCATCGAGTTTCTTCCTATTCAGTTTGTTTCCATTCTCAACAAAAACAGTATCACCAACTTTGAATTCTATATNCGGCGAGCGAAAAAAAAACTATTAAATTGTCTCATCTGTGATTAAATTGACTGACAGATATAGCTGACGTCAGTGTCAGTGCCATTGCCACAGATTAAAGAGGACAGAGGACATTGGAAAATGCTGACATCGCCATTGAGTTAATAAATAGAATAGAATACAATTTATTCATTGCTCTAGAAGCAAACATTGTTTGTTTCCGCTGTAAAAATAATACATGATAGACCATAAAAATTCAAGAAAACGGTGCCAATGAAATTTAAAAGAGTTGGCATCACTGGCGGACGATTGACATGACCCCATTCTAAAGTGGCGCCATCTTGGTGAGCGCGAATGCGATAGTCCTCCTACCGCTTCAGCGCTCACCAGTTGGCGCTACTGTCATCCCTACTAGCAAGTGACAGTGACCTATTCTACAGTGGAGCCAATTTTTAACCTTCATCAATAAAATCGGAACATATGAAAAAAAAACATAATATTATTAAGGTTGGCGTACACCGATTGATGTGGCGTTTTATTATTCGCTCTTTGAATGACTCTGTGGTGCTATTTAAAAAAATACAGCTATAGTGATGTACCATGTATCTTTTGACCAATTACTTTATCGACTATCGACAATCATTCGCAATTTACTTTTTTAGTTTCTAATTAAAATTTAATTTATGTATAATAAATATGTAATTACAAAAAATAAAATAAGTGATAGTAAAGAAGAAGTTATTTGGAAAATAATTTATTATGAAATTGCATTTTTGCTATTGTCACTTTTAATACTTTCATTAATTTAGAGTTAGACAAACACTGTTTATGAAGTTTTATATAGCTCTCCCATTTCTATATGCTTTCTAAGATTCTTAGGTAAAGTGGGACTTATATCATTATGTATTTTAACATTTTGACATTCAATTTTGTTAATAAAAATATATCGATATTACATCTTAAGCATATTTTGGCACATCTCTTTCTAATATTTCTTTATGTTGGCAGCAATGAAGTTACGTTTCTAAACTGTCAATGTCATACTTGTTGAATGAATCGTTTCGTCGTTGTTGTCTGTGGTGTCAAGTACGCAAAGTGGACTGAATTTGCTGTGCTAGTTATTTTATTTGCTAAAGGCAACAAGTTTCTGCGTTTCTTACCTATCTAATCAAATTTTACATTATTGTGCAAATCTCAATATGAACATCAATTCCAATTCCTGAAATAATATTTATATAAAACTTTCTAAAGGGTTCAGTGCACAGTGTTAAAAAGTATAACTACCTCTAATAAATTCAGTGTTATTTTGTATTACACACTGCGTCAGATAGATAATGTTTCTAGATAAATTTGAACAGTGCAGTTATGCTTCGTTATATACTCAAAAATATAATTTTGTGTCCATAACTTGTGCGAACTGTTAGTTCTTCCAAAATAACTCACTTAAAAAATATTTCTCAATCCACATTTGCTTATTGTCATCATTGTGTTGCTACAAGTTTAACACATTCATACTTTATCATGTGAAGTATTTTTAGAATCCAACTGACTGTGTTTGAGTTTTGTACCTTTGCAGACTTAAGTTTTTGCTTAGTGATTTGTGGTTGGTGTTACTGGAAATTTCATTGTGTGTGTACCTATGGGAGTATAAAACTGTTACTTTAATCATAACCAGGATAGTTTGATTCATTACTTATGGTGAGTCTACTTGTTTATTATTTATTACAAGCTTAATTTAATTCTGTAAGTAATTTTGTTTGTTTTCCTGAATATGTTAAATACGTGTTCCTAATCATCACAGTCAAAAAATTATATGAATAGTTTGTTATAAAATCCTACTTAAATTTTTTTTAGGTTTGATGTGCTACAAATGCTACAATGCTCCTAGTATTGTGCATTGTATCAACACACATTTCACTCTTCAATAAGAGTCACCAAATTCCTAATTAATTCAAAAGTATTGTAGTGTTTACCATATTACCTCTTAGATTGATAATTTGAAGTTGTGGTTTTAATTCCAGAATGATGCATGAGCATTATTCATGTTCTTACCTGATTGATTCTCGATTGCAGACTTTACTGTAGGTATTACTTATTATTTTTATTGTCTAGTAACCATAGTTTAAGCTTTGCTTAGTTTGGGACTAGAAGTGCATTGTAAAATGTCCAAGGATATTATTTATTATTGTTACTTAAAATACAGAGACAAATTGTTTTAAAATCCGTTAAAAATATTATAGCATTATAAGTTATTTATTTACATTCAAATTATTAAAAAATATCCTTATCTTAGGTCTGGAAGAATTTTTGTTGTTTCTGTTTTGACAAAATTAACCATTACGATAAACATAAATATTAAATGCACTCACATCAGATACAAGAATTGGAAAAAACAACATCTGATATACTTGGCTGTTTACCAATTTGCAGACTTTGAATTTTGTAACATTCAGAATCTATTTCAAGGTTATCCATTCTTAACTGGAAACTGACTTAAGACCTGCAAACCTATCTACATCATACTTTAAGGGGATCCTTATCCCTCGTAGAATAGAATAGAATAACTTTATTATTTCAGTAAATGTGGTAGGCACTAAAATAAAAATGTATTTTTTTAATTTATTAATCCTTCAGCTAAATCTAATAAGAAAGTTTCCATTATCATCCATTGCTTCAACTGAGCCCGACCCAAAAATGATCTTATCACTTGTCTGTGAAGAACAAAAAAATAAAATTTATCTATAAAAACAGTAAATAAATTATTTTAAATAAAAACAAGATTTTTGTGTAATGTTCATTAGTATGGGTTTTTATTATCTACCAATAGGCCCAAATTTTACTGTTTGAAATTATTTTAAGGTAAAATTTTTAAGAGACCACAGTAAAATATTGACAAATAATTATTTAAAAAAATTAAGGTGATTTTACTGTAGATTAATATATTAATACAATTGGTTCATGAGCTATTTAAATATTCATTCAGTTTTTTTAAACCTTGGACATAATAATATCAAATTGTTGGGATTCTAAAAACTACAAAAACTAGGATAACTACAATGTTTATACTGGGCAACCCATCATTGGTTGCCATTCTGATGTGCAAATGCAACAAGTTTGGAACAATAATTAAATTGTCAAAAAAAAAAGATTTCGACCCGTACTAATTGGGTGACACAAACTAAAGTTTCAATTTTTTTGGAACATTTGAACTTCTCTTGGAGAAAGTTTTTGCATCTGAGCAGTAGAATCAATCCTTTTGTTTGATCTCCCACCACACACACTGTCATGTTGTCCCTTGAGAGAAGTTTATCATACCTAAGTTGCAACAGTGAAAACCCTGTGCCTGTGCTACTCAGGAAATTGCTTAAACTATAATGAACCTGAAAAAACTAGCTACGAGCTTATTTAACCTGAGTACTCAATGTTTTTTTAACCCATTAACGCCCATAGTGAAACCACGATATATTTTCATAATATTTTTTATTATTGCTACTGAATGGATTACAAGTAATCTATAAACACAAAAAAATATTTTAAAAAAATTAAAAACCTTGAAAAAAAACCCTGTACACAGGTGTGTACAATGGGCGGATCAGGTGAGAAATTTCCCGAAGCAAGGTCGCTCTACGCAAAGCGTTTTCATGCATTTAGAGCAACGCCAACGCTCCTACTATGGCAAATAACACACCTAAGAGGGTTTACAATACGGTTATGCCCTCCATTGCTTGACTGTAAATATGATGTTGACGATGATGGCCGCGTCTTCGTTTTATTATTGGGTAAATACGATCTGGCAATAGATCGCCTAAAAGCCAATTGATCCAAGTACGTTGTGTTTTTGGTTTACACGGTAAGTACATATAAGCGCCATGCATTTGAGACCGCCATATCCACTAGTTTGGGTGATTTCATGAGCAGTAGAAAAAATGGGTGATATTTTTCTCCAAGTAGGATTTTCAGCAACTTCGATACGAGCACGTTTTTGAGCCAGACCAAGGCTTGAAAGAGTTTCTTCATCGCTACTGTCCCACTCCGGCTCTTCATCTGAAGGTTGGTGGCGTAATAGCTCGATAGTACCTGGTATATCTCAAAGTACCGAGGAAGTCAAATCATCTTATGCACCTTCTTCTTCATCACTAACATCAGCAGGATCAGGTGGTACGATGATCAATTTGAGCTCCGTATCGTCATCTTCAGCTGCCATAATGGATTCGATGGCTTCCTCTAGTCTTGATACTCGTTTTGAGATGATAAACGTTATCTATGTGACATCTTCAATTATCAACCAGGTCTTGAAAAAAATGTTTTTCTTAGTATACATTCACCCACTGTACACAAGCGTGTACACCAACATTCTTGAACAATTTTTGGTATGTTATATGTATATATTTATAATCTGATATAATAATTTTTTCTGTTTTCTTTACTTTCTTGTAGTAAACATTGTTTTTCGTTATGAGTTTGTCTTTTTTGCACTGTATATATTTATTTGTAACTTGATCTTGTAGGATATCTTCTAATGTTATTGTGTTGACTACTTTTAACTGTTCTTCTAGATTTTCATTTGGTTCAAGGACTGGGTTCCTGCTTAGACAATCAGCTTCGATGTTGTATCTTCCTGGAGAATATTTAATTTGGAAATCATACTGAGATAAGTAATATGTTAGATCACCTAATTCTTCATCTGTTCTAGATTTTATGTTCATATTCTCCAGAGGCTTGTGATCTGAGAAGACAGTAAATTTCCTACCTATTAACAAATGTTGCCAATACTTTACACATTCTTTAATTGCCAGGCATTCCAGATAAATAGCTTTCTTCCTTTTTTGTACTTCATTCAGTTTTTTAGAAAAGTATGCTACTGGTTTCTCTTCATTGTTTTCTTGTGGTTGTTTTAGGACTGCTCCTACTCCTAGTATGCTAGCATCTGTATATATGTGAATAGGTAGGTTTGGATCAAAGATAGTCAATATTGGTTGAGAACATAATATATGCTTCATTTCATCAAATGACTCTTGGCATGCTTTAGTCCAGTTAAAGGTTTGTCCTTTTCTCAAAAGATTATGCAAGGGTTCCAATTTCATTGCTATATTTGGCACATATTTATGATAAAAGTTTATCTTTCCCAAAAATTGTCTAACATTTTTTTGGGTTTTTGGAGTTGGGAAATTTTTTATTGATACTAAGTTGTCTTTCATCGGTCTAACTGAATTATTCTGTATTACATGACCCAAGTATTTCACTGTGTCTGCTGCAAATGTGCATTTAGAGAACTTTAGTTTTAAACCTTCACTTTTGATTGCTTCAAATAGTTGTTTCAAATGTCTGACATGTTCCGGGAAGGATTTTGAGAACAATAATATGTCATCGATGAAACATACTGCAAACTCTCCAAGCTTGTGCTTCCGTATTATGTTACACATTATTCTCTGGAAAATGGCTGGAGATGTTTTTAAACCAAAGGGCAAGCAGGTCCATTGATAGTGTCCCTCTTGTGTCACAAATGCAGTTTTGTGTCTATCTGTGACACGCAGAGGAATAGACCAAAACGCTGAATTTAGGTCTAGTGTTGAGAAATACTTGCAATCTCTTGTTTTTACTATAAGGTCCTCAATTAGAGGAAATGGTTGTGATTGAGGTACAACTATTTTATTCAAGTCTCGAAAATCGATGCACAATCTTGATCTTTTATTCTCATCTCTTTTATAAGCCAATGTGACTGGTGCTGCGAATGGGCTATATGATTCTTCTATTATATTATTTTCCAATAATTTTGCAATCTGGGTTTCAATCTCCTTTTTGTCTTCAATTGTACAGCGATACGGCCTTTTACTGCAATATTTTTCTATGAGTAGATCGATGTGTGCTTCATAATCCGTTACCTTTCCTATGTCATATTTGTCTTTTGCAAACACAGATTTATTTTCTGATATTAATTCATCAATCACAGCTTGCTTCTGATAGTCTAGATGATTTATACAAATATGGAACTTTTCGTCACTGATGTCTTCATTGTAGTTTACTAAATTATTAGATGTTTCTTCCTTAGAGTCTGGTTTATTTGTTTCCTTAGAAACTATTTCACTCTGTACAGGTATTTTCTGAGTAATTTCCAGGTTTTCATTTTGAACTAAGTGAAACTCTTTTATACAATCTAGTCCCACTAAAAAATCGTAATCGAAATTTTCTTTGTCTATTACAAAAACATTCATTTGTTTTTCCACATCAAATATGGCTATGTCGAGTGTAATTATGCCATTTGCCTTTTTAACGCCATTAATCGTTTTTAAATTAGTATTTTTGGAATGTCTGGTTTCACTGTTATTTATCTTTAATAACTTCGAATTTATCAATGAGACATTAGACCCTGAGTCGTAGATCCCGAATACTTCAACATTTTTGTTGAGTACTAATTTTATCTTGATCAATGGCGGCACTATTAGTTTTTTTGGTCTTCACACTGTAATTCACATTCCAATTCCGAATTGTTGATGAGCTTTATTTGCTTTTTATCCTTTTCAGTATTCATTTTGGTTTTAAACCAGCAGGAATCTTCTGAATGATAGCGTATGCCTTTCTTTAATTTTTCACAAATACCACATTTTTCTTTAATCGGTTTCGTATCTTCTCTTTTTTTAATAAATTTTTTTCTTGTAACCAAATGTTCCAATCTGCCCAGTGCATTAAACAAGTGTTTTGTGTGTTCAATTTCTTCTTTGTTAATTCTATCTGTGATAAAATCTGGTAAGCCGGCAGCAATTATATCGATAAGGGTCCCTTCATCTATTGTCTTTCTTACCTCTAGTAAAAGTTTCTCTTTTTTTACTGCATATTCTAATAAAGATCCTGATTGATACTTGAAAGATAAAGCATACTTGCTAGTAGTCCAACCTTTGCTGGCGTAGGTTTGCAAAAAACTCGATTTCCATTCTGACCATTCGGACTGTAAACCAAGCTTGATCATCATAGAAGAATACCAATCATTGCATGATTTCTCAAGAAATAATCTGAAGATTTCAATTTTTTCTTCATCTTGTGTAATATTGAATCTTTCACATTCTTTTTCAAATACGGACATCCACTGATATGCACTTGAGTTTTTCCCGTCAAACTTTTCTATTACAAACCTGTCTGCTAACTTTTTTATACTTTGCTTTTCTCTGTTTTGTTGACCTTCCACTAATTTTTCCAGAATTTTCACAATAGGATCTTCTGAACACTTTTTACTAGCAATAGCCAATTGTTCTTGGGTAGTTTCCTCTAGAAGCTGGTCTTGAAAAATCATGTTATCATCCTCATCCATGTAGGTTTGTAATATACCCTCTGTCATTTTTATCCAAACACCTCTGGATTGATATCTTTTTTTCAACGTATTTTTCACTGTAGTGAAGGTTTTCGAAGTTTGGATGTGTTTGTGTAGTGATACTGCTTGATACTCTTCAGGAATAAGGAAGACTTTGTCATCTTGTGTCGTAATTGAGGTTACAGCAATATAGTTGGATTTTCCGTCTGTTGATGGTTTCACTTCGAATGTAAATTTCAACTTTTCCATATTTTTGACAATAAATGTCGTTTTATAAGATGATTTCCAATATACTTTGTGATTTGGACGACACAGTCAAAATAACACAATTGAGTTTCTCTGTAAGAAAGAATTTATTCTTTAGTTTACAAATTACACATGAAATGGATAATAATATCTTTAGTAACAGAATTTTAATTCTTACGTACCTGTAAGAAAGAAACGACATTTAATGTTATCAATTACAATGTCGGTTCCAAAACCACAATTAGAATATCCAATGGTAATTGGTATTTCAATTCTATAAAATTAAATATTGTTTTTTCAGAGGTACGAGACGCTTTTAGGTTATGGCCATAGACTTTTCCTACCATAGATTACAAATTCATTTTTTAAATGTCACGGTCTGGCTTAAAGATGTTTGCCCGCAAGAAACTTGAAATGGTTAAAGAAAATTATATTTTTCTTTACATATATAGATATATATTGGCTCAAAGGTTCAAGAGAACTAAAGGTAGAAATAATCCTCTCTTATAGTGGCGAGAATAGTCCAGTTTTACAGAGGTGGGAATAGTCCTGTTTTAAAGAGCTAGGAATAGTCCTGTTTTACAGAATCGTGTCTTACAGAGTCCTGCCTTACATAATCCTGTCTTACAGGGCCCTGGTTTAAAGAGTCCTTTCGTACAGAGTCCTGTCTTACAGAATCCTGTCTTACAGAATCCTGTCTTACAGAATCCTGTCTTACAGAGTCCTCTCTTACAGAGCCCTGTTTTAAAGAGTCCTGTCTTACAGAATCCTATTTTATAGAGTCCTGTTTTAACAGAGTCCATTTTTACAGAGCTTTGTCTTACAGAGTCCTGTTTTACAGAGTCCTGTTATACAAAATCCTATTTTAAAGAGTCCTGTTCTGCAGAGTCCTGTCTTACAAAGTCCTATTTCACAGAGTCCTGTTTTACAGAATCCTGATTTAAAGAGTCCAGTTTTACAAAGCCCGTCTTACCTGGTGTTGCCTCGCTTCCTGCTGCTTCAAGTACCGCAACCTCTGCTCCTTAGCGCACAGCAGCTGGTGCTGCGTGTCGATCTGCTGCTGCTGGCGGAGTGCCATGGCGCGCAGCTCGCCCAGTGTCAGCTCCACCCCTTCCCCCAACTGTGGGCAAGGAGAGAAAGGTCTGGTTATAATGGTGATAATTTTTGTGTCAGCTCCACTCCTTCTCCCAACTGTGGGTAAGAAGAGGAAGGTTTGGTTAGTATGGTGTTGATTCTAGTGTCAACTCCACCCCTCCCCCCCAACTGTGGGCAATGAGAGGAAGGTCTGGTTAGAATGGTGTTAATTCTAGTGTCAGCTCCACCCCTTTCCCCAACTGTGGGCAAGGAGAAACGGGTCTGGTTAGAATGGTGGTTCTAGTGTTGTAGGGCCCAAAAGATAAACAGACATGTAAAGTGTGCATAAGCGCCACTAGTTGTAAAAAATGAATAAAATATTTTTGATTTTGTCAACTCCACCACTCACACACTCCAATGGTGTTGATTATGTCGTGTGAGGTACCATAGACAACTTTCAGTCAGACAGTCAGTTAAAGCTAGTTTTTGATCCCTAATAAATTGCGAAATGAAATGATTTTACGAATGGCACTAAAAGTGTTTTTTTTATTGCCAAGGAAAAAGTCAAGTACCTAACTTTAAAATAGTCGTATGATCATCTTAACACAATTAAGCCATAAACCAACGGCTGTAAAGTGAAACTTATGAATGTAGGTAAACTGTTTAAAAAATCACTGTTAAAAATCTATCTACCTGACTAATTGCACATTTAATTCATCTTTGTAAATTAAACTGCTGTGCAGATAAGTCAAACTTCACGAGCAAATTAAATATTCAAAAAATGCACACCAACTTCAAGCCACAGTTATCTAAGAAATAGAAAAACCCAGCTTATCTAAACTTCAGCCATCTTACTCTGAAACTAGCAGTACCTAGTATTCATACTTCCACGATTCAACTACTCCTGAAACTTGCGTAGTTTTCAAAGAAATTCAGCGAGACTACATTTAATGCAGCCCTATTTCTTTTTGCCTGCAAGCCACAGAAATTCTCAAGTAAAAGGCAAACGCGGTTTAGCGTAGTTTAATCACATATTTCAGCACCTAAATCCAGCCATTAGTATAATTAGAAATTAGCATAGGCTGAGTTGCACCACCTTATTTTAACCGTGACTTAATAGTCACTTAATAGCATAACCGGTGTTTTTGTATGGAGTTTGATGGACTTTTGACGTTTGTTAAAGTTAAATTGGTGCTACCCATCCTAAGTGTTAGGTAATAGCGCTTGCAAGCATTTATTTGCAGACAGTAAAATTAAAATTGTGCTTGACATTATTTAGGACGATATTTTTAAACGCGTGTAACTTTTCAGCGAGTAACATCGACTTTCGATCTCTTTCGAAATTTTTGACTCGGAAAGATTTGCGAACTTTTTCTATGTTTTTACATTTCACGCACACCGTTTCATCTTTTTTTCACGTTTCAATCTTCATAACGTCTCATTTTAGCCTCGTTGTATAGTCACAAGAGAACTAGATACAGTAGTAACGGTATCTAATACTACTACTATTTAAAAACATATCCAATAAAGGTAACAAAGAAGCAAATAATGGGAAAAAAGGCTAGGGAAAAGAAGAAGGAATAAAGAATTGTACAGATAAAATCTGAAAAAAAACGAGTTTGTTTACAATCTTTAAAATAACAATTTCCTCAATAGTCTTTGAACCTTATCAATTGTCATACATCATACCTTCAAATTCCATCGTCAGGTAAAGTACTAACAATTCGGCATTCGAATCAACGCAAACGGCAGGCTATCGATCAGGTCCGACGTATGCAAATATTGAAACGACCTTCATCACACAGTGGGAACTGACAATCAGGTTTAAATCTGCCATTGCATGCATTAACAGAAGTCCCGATGTTTATAGTCCAATGCCAATTGAAGCCACGATAGCCGACCAGTGAAGGTGTCAGATTAGCCGACTCGTAATCCGAGGAACGCGGGTTCGATCCCCGCCACCGCTGGACTATTATGGTGAACCCACTTAACACAAGCTTAATTAGCTTACCACGAGGGGTTAACGGGACTATTAGTAATTTGTATGTACAAAAAAATATATACATAAATTATAAACCTAAAAATACATACACTAGCTGATGCATCAAGCGTTGTTTTGCCACTTATGGTATAAAAAACTGCGTACGACCTAAAGCGTCACAATAAAAAGAAAGCCCACTGTTAATAACTTGTTTGTGACCAAATTCAAATATAGCATATTTCCATTCCCTTATTCACGTTACCACAAACCTAATTTCCTATGTAATAGCAATTTGCGACATGAAAAAAGACAAGAAAAACGCCCACGCGAAAAACTTTAACGACTGCCGCGAAGTACGAATGCCCGCTTTGGGAAGAAATGAGGATCAGAAAAACCAGTAAACAAGGTAGCAGTAAGATAGGTAATGATGAAGATTAAGAGGAAGGTAGTGGATTCAAATCTCTTGCGAGGCAGTCGATTTACTAATGTTTTGTTCTAAATTGTACGTTGCATAAACTACTTAAAAATAAACTCCCATAGTTAATCCTTTTTGCAAGACGGTCGCTAAGAATACTATGTATAATAATTGAAACAATCCCGTACTGCTTTGGTCACCCTCAATCAAAGTTTTTCTCATAAAAGATGGCCTTCTCTTTTTTTTGGAATACAAGTAAAGCCTTCTGCTTACATCTATTGTGTCATTCAAGATGGCACAGGTCACGTCAGAAGAAAAAGTTTATAAATTTTTCTGTGATACTCAATTGAAACTCCGAAAACTTGTGATGTACAACTTACATACTATTGTGGCATCTTTTACTGTGGTAATAGGAGCTATTTTTCAGAAAAAATATGTAGTCTAATGTGCCAGCGAGTGTGTAATAAATCGTTCTACACCGCTAGGGACTGATACACCCCGTAAATTCTAGTTCTACTGAAATCACGAGTTACTAGCCGAACGACTTGTGCTTTATTACAATTTGGATTTATCTTGAAATATGAACTTTAAGACGATTTATGTTTGGTTTAAAATGGAGTACCTACTCTATGTTAAGATCAGCAGAATTTTATATTGTGTCATCACCTATGACAAAAATTGGATTAGGTAACTTTAAGTCCATTATTTCTTTATTTAATCTTTGATGTCATATACATTGGGACATTCGGCGAACTTGATGTCATAAGACATTAAGTTGACCTTCAATTAATCAAAAGGAATGAGGTGTTTCGTTCTTTAATTCGACCAAAAGCAACAAGTAACACGTCCTCTATAATTCCTTCATTTCTACATCTAAGTTTCTCATAATAAGTTCAGTCAGTCCTCTTCAAGGCAATGCCCTCGGTCTTAATAAGTTTAGGTGTTCTTAAATTTATTTTTATTTCTGAGAATTCAGATCTTTTTGCTCAATTTTTGTTTACAACTTATTAAGTAAACGGGACACGTAGTTTTACTTACTGTAGAGCTAATTATTTTTTCGCTAAGTGAGGTCTTGACGCAGATTTTACGACATTATTAGACCATTAAATAAATTGAATCAGAAAATTTTATTTATGAGTTAATAGGTGTTTCAAGTGTTCTCCAAAGCACCAAATGCGATCATTTTCAAGTAAAGTTAGGCACTACCAAAAAGTATTTTCTCTGCCACTTTCTGTGGCCCACATTGCAATCAAACCTAGTACTGTCGACTCCATAATATTGGTTAGATTCCAAGTAAATGATTCAATTTATCCAGCATTAACACAAGTTCCAATCTATGTCTTATAATGACTGGGAAATCCTCTCTTTATTGCAATGGATTAAATCCACTGAGAGATATTGCAGTTGCTTCTGAGATACTATTAAATGAAATAGAATAATCTTCAGTATCTACAGATACAGATCTAGCTTCTGCCGCTTTTAATGCAGACTTCTTCTTAAAAGTCATACTATAAAAACATAAGATAGATAAAATATATAGTTTGTTCCATCGACGATTTTAAATATGCTGTTATTAATTATTTAATCAATCGCCGGCTTTCGCTATTATCTCAAAAAACTGCCATTTTCCTAGGTTGTCTTCCTAGTTCCTAGCAATAAAACCGCCGAAGTTAAGTATGCCGTTTCAATTTTGTATTTTTTTTCAGTTTTGCATGGTGTAATAATGAGTCTTACCTCATTTGAAATATGGCAAATTCTGTCTTTCTAAGATTTCTTCCTCAAGGCTACAAAAGGTACTTTTTATCTTTAATATCTTACTATTCTCATACAAGTATTATAAAGAAGCAGAAATAGGTACACTTCAATTCAGTTAAATAGCCCCACAAAAACCACATTAAAGGCATTTCAGAACAAAGTGCACAAAAGCGGCATTAACATAACGTAACAGCCGAAATAGTCGCGTCCTAAAGAA